CTGATATGCGTTTATTATTAGTTTTTACTTTTTGTTTTGTCGGGGTCAAATTGAGACAAGCTTCGCTTCTATTTTTGATCCTAATTAATTAATTTTAATGTTGTCCACTTTATTTATCATTTGATGTATTAATTAATTAATTGAATAAATGTTAATTGAATTGAATTGAAATTTTGAAATGTTACTAGAGAGAACAAAAGTATAACCCTTTGACCATAAATCGCTGAACACCATAAAGACCCTACCTTATGCCAATACATATGTACCCAGGACAAGACTGTGCTATGTTATTTGTGACAGAAGTCTTTTATTCATTTTTTTAAAAGTTTTTTACCCTAATGACCCCTATGTGACCTTTGACCCCAAGCAGCGAACACCCCATGTATGAGAGGTGTCACCGATTATACTGACCAGGTTTGGTTGAAATCGGTACAACCGTTTGGCACTAGTAGCGTTTTGAAATGTTGCCAGAAAAAAGATAAAAATTACACCTTAATGACCTTTGACCCCTTATCCCTGAACACCCTATAGACTCTGCCTTATGCCAATGTATATGTGCAAAGGACAAGACTGTGCTACGTTATTTGTGAGACAAGTAGTCTTTTATAGGATTTCCCCTTAATGACCTTTGACCCCTTATCCCTGAACACCCTACAGACTCTGCCTTATGCCAATGTATATGTGCAAAGGACAAGACTGTGCTACGTTATTTGTGAGACAAGTAGTCTTTTATAGGATTTCCCCTTAATGACCTTTGACCCCTTATCCCTGAACACCCTATAGACTCTGCCTTATGCCAATGTATATGTGCAAAGGACAAGACTGTGCTACGTTATTTGTGAGACAAGTAGTCTTTTATAGGATTTTTGGTTTTTTTACCCTAGTGCCCCTTATGTGACCTTTGACCCCAAGTTGTGAACAACACATAAATGGGAGGTGGCACCGGTTCTACTGACCAAGTTTTAATTAAATCGGTCCAGTAGTTTGACACTACTAGCCTTTTAAAATGTTGCCAGAAAGACAGAAAGAAGGAAGAAACTGCTAAGAAACAGAACCCAGTCAGCAGCAGCTGCTGACTGGGTAAAGAAAGAAGAAACTGCTAACAGAACCCAGTCAGCTGCTGCTGACTGGGTAATAAGTTTTACTTTCTTTGGCTTTTCCTTGCAATTGGGGTCAATTATTTTGTGCAATTTTTATCTTGTCTGTTGTTTTGGTTATCATGTATGTATATTATGACTCTGTTTATAAATAAATTCAATCAATCACGCATATGTCAATTTCAATTTATTTCAATTTTATTTGATCTCAAAAAACACAGAAATACAAAACCGAAAAACATTTAGGATTGTAAAAAAAAATATGATTAATTAGATAAAACATTTAAATGCTATTTATAAAACTAGAAAAATAATAAAATAATGTTTTTTTCAATAGATTTTTATTTAAAAATAAACATCAAATCAAAGTATTTACAATTAAATTTAATGAAAAATAACTCTTGAATCTCATTGATTATTGATTATATTATACTGTATTTAACAATGTTCATTTCTATTGGATGAATTCCTGAAATGAAAACTTGAGCTGTAATCCTTGCTTTAATCAATGTCATGATGGTCCCTAGCTACAAATTAAAATGTGAAGTCTTCGCTACGCTCGTACATCTCAGATGGTCCCATTTTCATCTCTTTTTTAGGAGGACCTTCATCCTCACAAACCATGGACCTACAAATGAAAAAATTATTTCTTGATAATAGTCGGTATTTTATATGTCAAACACATCTAACACAGTATAGGCTGACACATCTGACTCACAATTGCATGCATTAAACTGAAAAAAATAAAAAAAGCTATTACTGATAATATATGAAAACAATAAATTAAGCTGCATTAATTCAAAATGCATAAGAATTAATGAATGATATGCAAGGATCCCAAGTCGGAATCCGGGAAGGCCTCCTGCAAGCTAGAATCTCCCAGAAAATAATCGATCTCCAGCAAATTCAAATATTTGCATTTTTTTACAAGTTTTATTATCATCTCTTTTTGAGGCGATATTATCAATGAATGCCAGTCAATTCAAGCGAATGCCAATTCGAGCAAATGCCAGTTCAAGCAGATGCATTTAGTGACAACTATAACAAGGGCGAATTTATCGTCGCCCTATTCTTGTATTTGTGAGTGAAATAGTACTTTTGTTTGTTTTAAATGCACTGTGCACTAAAGTTCTGAAATGTTTTTGGCACTTTTGATAATTATTCCATGTTTGAATTACAGTCTTGACAAATCCGACTACCAGATTCCAGATGGCTGCTAACAAGCAAGCCTATGCCTATATATTAAAACTACTGAATTGCGCACGTTCATTCTAAATTCGTGGTTTTTGTCCAGTTGGGGTTTTGTATTTAAAAAAGTAATTAATATTTGTAATTGAATTATGTTGTACTTGTATTTGTAGTCGCTAAAGTAAGATTTATATTTGTAAATGGGAGTAACTGTAATTGCAATTGTTCACCATAGAAATTTAAATTATACCTAGAGGTGTACAGTAATAATGACACAGCCCACGAATTCCACGTCGGCAATCGGCAATTGCCGACCATATTGCCGAGCCAGAATTTTTTGCCTACCTAGGCCTAGATTTCTTTGCTTCAAAAACTGCTTGGAAAGTCAAAAACGTTGACTGAAACAGGCTAAATTTCATGTACGTCGTCAAACCAAGGAAATTGGTGGTAGTACTGTACTGTACATGTGTGGAAAATCCCTGATAGATCATTCTGGGCATGCGCATGGACATGCATGGGCAGTTTTGAAGCAGCCTGTGATGATTCGATCATAGCTTTTACAAAAGTGATATTTAACATGCCAAAGATAACGATAAAACGAACGCTAAAACGAAATTTATTCGGCGATTTTCTTTTGTAAAAAACATGTTTTATACTACACTATTAAATTAATACGACCATTCTTTCACCAGCAATATATTGATTTAATAGAGAAATTAACAAAAGCACAATCTGTAGATGACGATGTAAGGTCGATCGTTCGGAAAAATTGTAGTTTATATTATATAGGCCTAGGTAGTAGAAAATTGCAGAGGCTGCTGACCTTGGAGAAACCTAATTTTTTCCAAATTTCATGGGCTGAATGACAGACATGAGAAAATGGGGAAAATAACAGCATATCATGATGTATAGATATATAAAAGTTAGTTTAGTGCAATAAAATAGATTCCAACAATTTTGAAATTTCAGCATGTTTTGCCCATTGATTTTGAAACACGATTTGCGACAAGTGACTGGTTTGGCTTCTTTTTGCCACATATAGAGTGTGGATGTAAAAGTTATGAACTATGAGCTGAGATACAGAGATGACCTTTAAGTGGATAAATAATAATAATAATAATACAGTATGCTTTATTTGTCCTTGAATGTAATACACTATTGAAATTTTGGGCTGGTCCCTGTGGACTCACGGCAGCCACAGTGCAGCACCACCCAACTTAAACTACAGCATACAACGGATACCAGATCGAACTTAACTCGCCTAACTCTCCTGAAAGGGTTATTCAAGGAGCTGAGCATTTATAAAAGACCCAAATTCAATACTCGGCTGCAGAGCCTGGACTCGAATCCGGGCCTTGGAGTGCGAAAAGCAGGAACCATACCAATTGACCAAATGGTCAGTAAAGTGAAATCATGAACAAAGAAGTTTAACAAGGAAGTCTGGCATAAAAAATTTAGGATTACCTTGGTAATTGTTTTGTTTCATCTGAGTCTTCTCTTTCAAACATCTTCCGAATAAATGAAAAAATTGTATTAAATACAAAAATAGAATACATAATTTTATCCATTCTGCCATTCACACACATGTAAACATACATGTTTGTGGGACAACACTTGAGTTTTTGTAGCAAGTGCGTACTCCAGGCCCTGTTCTAATTGGTCAGTTGTTACTGTAGGTTTGACACTCCGGAAACATTAATTGCAGAGACTTGATTTGCGCAACTATTAGGAAATGTGCATTATAACTGCCTGGACCAGGAGTACCAAAGCTGTTCAACCTTACTAGTTTGAAGAAGCTTTCACATACATAGTGCCTGTTTCTGCTCTGCAAATGCGTTTTAACACGCATTCATTATAGGGTTGGCGCAAAAAACGTGTTTTGTGGTACACTTTTTAGTTGGGACGCAATGAACCCAAATTGACCTCTTTGTTTTCTTCGACCTCTTGGAAATTTCAGGGCGAAGAAAAAATTAAACCAATAGGATGGCATGCTTTAGGCTTACCATAATTTGTTCATACTTTCGCAGTGTGCTGTTTACTTCTTTCACAGCATGCGCTGTAGCTCACTGGAAGTAAGGTCAACTTCAACTTCCATAGGTGAACTTCAACTTCCGTAGGTGATCGTCATTATAAGCTCCGCCCACCTACCAATGCTCGTGTAACCGTTTTATTATTAGTTACACTTTTCACTAGAAACATGTTCCGAAGGAATTTATCCGTTTTTAAAAAACATGTTTTTGGCGTTATTCAGCAGAAATATGCACTTCGACAACTCACCTTGCTTGTCAGCATATCAGCCATACACCTTTTTAGATTCCGCTGAAGAATTTCTAATTGCTGAATTACTAATTTCTGTGACTTTACTGCATCATTGCTTTGCTTAATTTCTTTCCTGGACATCTAAACATAAAAGAGTATAAGCAAGTTATTCCATGAGATTTTATCACATAAAAACAGCACAAAAATGGTTGCTGCAACATTTGAGATTAAACTTGATAAAAATAAAATTTGTTAAAAAAATGACTGGTGAATATTTAATAAAAATTAATTGAATCTGAGACCAAATTGGATGAAGCACTAAAAAATTGTTTGATTTGATGATTAATTATTTGTCTAAATTTATATTTTTAAAAATAGGTGCGGCCTACCAAATTATCAGTTAAGGATTTGGCAATAGGCAACGGCAGCAGAAGCGGGAGTGGGTGGGGGCGCATTGGCCCACTCACTTTTTCTACTGGGGGAGCCTGGCTCCCCCACTTTTGTTACTGTTCCCAGCACCAGTGACAAGCATTTTCCAAACATTTTACGAACGCTATAATTTCATTATTATTATATTTTTTTTCTGTGAAAGTAATCCCAGATAGCTTTACATGTTACTACAATATAGTTGAAAGCTATCTGTGAAAGTAATCTCCCCCCCACCCACCAACTGGTCCCCATCTAGGCCTATTTCGAATTCCTGGATCCGCCACTGGAAATTACAACAATTATGAAGTCATATTACAGTAGCTTGATGCCTTTAAAAATAAATAATAAAATTCACCAAAATTTGTCAATATTCCGTAGCTTATAGAGGGCTTGGCTTCCCACTGGCCCCAGCCTAGATCATCGCTTCGCTCGCATACTGGACTTTATGAAATGGCCCCCTCCCCACTTTCAAGAACATTTCGCCACCGTTGGCAATAGGAATTAGGAAACTATCATACACTAGAATGCATAGTTAAAATTGGTTAACATGTATTACGTTGGAAATGTTGTTATTGTTTGTGAATTGTCCAGGGAGTTGCACATACCACTAGTGATCATTGGTTTTATAGTATATGTGATTGTGTACTAAACAATGAAAATGAATGAAATTAATACAATATAAAATCAGATTTGAAATAAATAAAATTTACATACCAACTTAGCTTGAAGGTCCTGTGTTTTCTCCCTTTGCACCTGATATTTTTGTCTTTCTTTTTCTATCTGTAAATATAACATTTTAAATGTTGTATCAATAGAAAAGATGAAAACAAAATTGAAAAAATGTGCAGATACCTTGTACAGCCCAATACAATACGAAGTGTTCAGAAAGCTCATTAAACCAGACTTCCAAGAAGTGGCTTAGGAACCAGTGACGTATCTACAGGGAGCTTGGGCCCCCAAAACTTGCACCCCCAGGCTCATATCACCTTACAGTATTTTGCCAGCGACACATACACGCCAAGGCTCACGCATTTGTGGTCTGTCTCACACTCTCACGCTTAAGGACCAACATCTCAATGTAATATTGCCTATAATAAAAAATATCTCTCGCTAAATATCCATCATTACAGTGCTTAAAATAGGATTGGATTTGTCATGACACATTCGACCACAAATATATGGTGATGCACCACAATCTGGATGAGGGGGGTTGGCTTTCTATTTTAAGTAACATTCAGAACCAATCAAATTGTGGAGCTGCCTACAATAACACGGGCAGGGCAATACGTTGCACATGTTAGTTTTCTGGAATAAATCATGTCAGACAAAAGCTCACAGGATGAAGTGGGCTGTCTGGAGCTCTGCTGAAATATCTGAGGATGATTAGAATGGATGTGGTTTAGAACCATCTATCACATATAAAGACCGTTGATGGAAAAAAACAAGTTCCAGTGCTTATTCCGGGTTGCCAAACTCGTGCTAGTTATACCCCATTCAAATGCTGAAGAGGAGAGGATATTCTCCATGGTTCAGAAAAATAAAACGGATTTCAATCTAAAGTTGGCAACAGCCAATGAACCAGCACATTTGTTTGATCCCTCTTCAGTGATGTTAAAAAAGGCCAAATCGGCAACATGCAAAGAGCACGACTCAAAATAAAAATGTTAATTTTTTTCCTGTCTGTCTCATTCTTACAGTATTACTTAATTGAATTATGTAATGTTACAGTTTTTTTTATGGCATCTCTTGTATTCTTTAGTTGATATAAATTTTTATAATGATCAGTAAATATTCGAAAATCTGTTACTAGTTTTTGGATGAGATACATAAAACTAACTGCATCAACACTGTGAATATGTCGTTTTTTTACAAAACACTATCGGATAAGATCAAAGAACACACTGCGAGCCGCCACGCGCGCTTATGTCAGTATGACAGGTTCGTGGACAGCGGAAACATGCATTCTCAGGAAAAATAATGCAGATTCTTAACCTATTTTCAGTTGTAAAAATACTAGCCTAAAGAATGCATTCCCGAGCATCTAGGTCTAGGGAAAGATTTTTCTGGCCTGCAAATTAGTCAAACTTGGCATGTATGGCCAAAACCCCCTCAACTTATCAATCGGGTCCCCATACCTTTGCACCCCACTGTACAGGACACATGCTAAGAAAAAACTGGTCAAACAACTCTTAACAAAGTCACTCAATTGAAGCCAACTGTAGTTTCCATAAAATTGCTACATTGTCACTAAATGTTTTGTTGCACTACAAGATACATAGCTGTCACAAATACTGTATACAACAACATATATGTTCTTTTATGTGACTGTACGAATCCACTGAAATTAGGCAGGGATTATTATTTGGTGATCCGCTTCACGAGCGAATCACCTCTTGTTATTGTCAGGATCATCATCATCTTCATCTTCTTTTTTTTATTCTTCTTTCTTTCTTCCCCTTTCTGTTTGCACAATATCTCAAAAAATGCCACGAGTTACGCACAATCGCTGTCAGCGAACATTTGGCTTGGTCTGGAATAGTCATGGTAAGCTTTTCAACGCGCTCAGTCATGCGTGACGTCATCTACACGCAATTTTGCGTTTTTACATAATCAATCATATCAGCCTAACCAATTGCCATTTCGTAATCGTATTAAGTGAGCATTAACTTCGGGTTAATGTTGAATGTACTGTACCTTAATTTTACGCGTGCGCTTCATTACGCGCGCGTACGCATGCGTCAAACTTTTTAAAATGCTCAAAATCACTTTTGACTAAAATTAGAGCATGTTTCAGGCCATTTTGAGCATTTCGGAATTTTTTGAAATTTACCTCTACGCGCGTGCATTTTTATGCGCGCAGCACGTACGGAAGCTAGACATTATGTTTTTTCACATAGTTTGGTCATCTTATGGCCAATAGCAATGTCGCACGTGCGCATCAAATATAGGTATCTTGGCGCGGATTTGTGCCGATATACAGTGAAAATATGCTAAAATCAGGCCTATTTTCAATTAGTTATAGCTCCTTAGGATGAAAGGTGACCCCGAATTTTTATTACATATTCTGAAAGCACATAAGTTGTAAATATGATTTTATAGATCATAATGGCTGATCGGACATTGTTACGTCATCATATTGGCATCTGAATTCAAAGAAAGTGAATTATAGCTATGACGTCATTTTTTAAATTACGTATTTGAGCGTATCTCGCTTATCCTTGATCAATCGTGTTCCAACTTTGAGTATGTTATAGCTGAGGTAATTCTCTTTCATATATTTGACATCTTTTTAATTTTTGATGACGTCATCATGGTCAAAAAATTTGTTTTTTCTGACCCCCCACATCTTTCTTTCCTCAAAACGTTGATGAGCCCATATCATCTTAACCATTTCTGCATCATATTAAGTGAGCATAATCTTCAGGTCAAGGTTGAATGTCAGGTACCTTAATTTTCCGTTCGCACGACTTAACGTGCGCGTACGCGTGCGTCAACATTTATATGCATAAAACCATGAATATTTTTAATCAGTTATAGCTCCTTAGGATGAAAGGTGACCCCCAATTTTTATTACATATTCTGAAAGCACATGAGTTGTAGATACGATTTTATAGATCATATTGGCTGATCAGACATTGTGACGTCATCATATTGCAATTTGAATTAAGAAAAAACTGAATTTTTATTTATGACGTTATTACTTTTTATACTCATTTGAAAGTATCTCGCTTATCTTGATTGATTGTCTCCAACCTGTGAGTATGTTATAGCTAAATCAATTTCTCTTTCGGACGTGTCCCTTTATTTTTCATTTTGATCACGTCAGCATGGTCAAAAAGAATGAATTTTTAGAGCATTCTTATCTCTCATTCTTAAAAGATGTAAAAAATAGAACACAAGAGGGCGGCAGACTGTATTTCGACGCTATCAGACTTATATATACAGTATAGGGTATACGAAGGGAAAATTCCTTTGGCAATAATAACTAACAGACGGTTTTAAAAACATGACAATATTTAATTTCGTGTGCCATTACTGTACACGCACACATCGTGACGTGTGCGTATGTTAAAATTTAAAAAATTCTCAATATCACTATTCAGATAGTTTAAACGTTTCGGGTCATTTTCTGCATTCCAAAACTTTCCATATTTACGCGCCATACGTTCATTT